GAGATAATGTATTCTTTTGAATTTTGTACTGGAGAACGAGGCCAGTAGGGTTAATTTAAATGTAAACGAAAGAATATTAATCCGGCAGCCATTTATGAAAGTGGTCTATTCAGTGCATTTCTTCGTTTATAGATATGTCCTGGTTCCTCCTTGCTGTATACAAATCCTCCGTGCGCTTGCCCTCAACGATCGTTCTTTTTTCAGTGCTGTTTGTTTTTGGCTTGTCCTTGTGTGATTTCTTGGTTTCCCTCTAGACATTGTGGATTATCTCTACCGGCTCTTTGTAAGTGCCGAAGAAGAAGCCGAAGGACAGCGGGATAACGGATTGTCTAGCGACGAGACGGAGTAGAACACACCTGTGTTTGCCTTTGAGGCTACATAACCCAGAGAAGACAAATTACGGCTGAGGTGATATCTTCAGAGAGGAGACATTTCGATGTTATTTTTCGAAGAAAAAAAATGGAATTTTCGAAAAGATTATAAGAGCATTTCCGGTATTTGCTACTAAGGTACACTATGTGCAGCGCGTTATTTTTACGAAGCTTTATTAGTGACTGCCATCAGCCCATAGACAGAACACACATATTCTGCATTTTTGTCCTTGGAGAAAAGCGTGGCAAATAATTAATTTGGTCCTTCTCATTCCATGTTGTTTCTTGTATTTTTTTTAATTACTGAGCGATTTTACAAGAGCTTAACAATTCACGCAGACTGCTTCGAATCCCCTGATTTCTCCAAACGTAAATTCCTGGGTTAAGACAGCTGTTCAAGAGAACTGCAGTCTCGCCAATAGGATAAATCACGTGATATAAAAGGTCACTCGGCGCCAAGCTAGCCTGGTCGACAATGGTAGCACAGAGGGTCGGTGTGAAGCACAGGAACAGAGTTCCAGCCACAAACGCCACTGTCTTGGAAGCCTTGGCTTCTCGAGGATTTGAGTTCTCTTGTAAAGGAGGTTCATGAGAGGATGTGGAATTGTTGTGCGACAACTCGACCTGAACTTGGGCGTTACAGCGCTTGACCAACCGAAATATCCTAAAGTATACAAACGACGTGATGATGAAATTTGTGATAATTACTAAAGATATCACTCCTACTTCCTCATTGCTATTTATCCCGAATAAAAATCTCACAGTCAGCAATGTTCCAATCGAGATTCCCCATACCGTGACAATGACGGAAATCAGACGTTTGGAGTTGACCTTCTCAACATAACGATACGGATAAAATACTGCCATGTATCTCTCAAGCGAGATCAAAATCAATGTCAAAAATGACATGCAGATACATATCACTCCAGAGAATGAGTATATCAGTAGCTTATCACATGGAAAGTCGGTAGGAGCGGTGGTCAGTTTGCTTGTTTGATAAATAACATAGGAAGGTTGAACGAACACGCCAACTGTCAAATCGGTAAACGCAAGGCACAAAATGGAGGTATTTGCTACATTTCGTAGTTGCGGTTTTCGGAGCACAGCTGTAAAGACCAGAACGTTCCCAACGATTGTCAATGGGCATGTAACGCTGTTTAGAACACACAACATAAGAGTCACGGTGTGAAACAAAGCAGTTTGAGGAAAGGGAACCATTTTAAGACCTGATAATCCGATGTCTCGGCATACAAATCTCTCGGTTGGGTTACTAACATTTAGAGCTTCGAAATATCCTTTGTCCATTGTGGCCTGAATCTTGTCTGGGCTGTTGTTGAATGAAGTCCAATTTGATGCAAACATGTTTTTAAATTGAATTTACTAAGAACTGAAACACGTACGAAACAAGACAAGTTGAAGCCTTTTGTGTCTTGCAACGACACACGTGTTGTGTCTGTCAATCAATTCCGCAGTTACTTACACGTTTGCTATGGTAGTTTGGAAAATAGGAATGCTAGAATTCGGAACCGGAATTCCCGGAATGACCGAAAAATAATAAATTTAAAAAAATAAAAGTAAATTAATATATAAATAAGAATATTGATGATTAAAAATTGATGGTAAATTCACAACTTAATTAAGTGATTTAACACGAAATTTTTCTAAGAGGGTCCCAAAAAAAAAAAACACTTACTGTTCATGGAGATGCACGTAATAGAATTAAAAAAAAGTCTGCGTCAGGCCAGTAGCCCATACAGCCTAAGCGACGAAATATTTGTACTCTCCTTTCCCATTGGATGGGATGCTAATCCACATGGTTTCTCCCCGTTTTAAATTCGCCTCCACCCATTTACACACCTGTAGGATGTCTAGGACACCATGACCACTAGGCCGCCACGCTTCTCCAGCCGGAACCATTGCAGAAGATTAAGCAAATGCAACATTTCCAATTAGTTTAATAGTTCAGTCGTAAAAAGCTCCGAACTATTACAAATTAATACTCTACCTCGAATAATTATTAACCACACATTGGGATCCATCAAAGCAGCTACCATTGAGACCAGCCGTCTACAGTTAATATTGAGAGATTGTCAGTTACTCGACACCTTTTCACGTTTATTATAAATACCTTGAATATATGCCTTTGAATATAAACCTTGTTTAGAAGAATCCATCAGTACAGAGTTTAATAGTTCAATTGTAAAATTCTCCGAACTATTACAAACTAATACTCTACCTTAAATGATTATTAACCACACATTGGGAGCTATCAAAGCAGCTACCATTAAGACCAGCCGTCTACATTTAAAATTGAGAGATCGTCAGTAACTCGACACCTTTTCGCGTTTATTATATATACCTTGAATATATACCTTTGAATAGAAACCTTGTACTGATGGATTCTTCTAAACAAGGACTAGCATCCCATCCAGAGAGAAGGGAGAGTAGAAATATTTCGTCGCTTAGGCTGTATGGGCTACTGGCCTGACGCAGACTTATTCAAATTCTATTACGTGCATCCATGAACAATGCCGGTAAATGTTTTTTTTTTTTTGGGACCCTCAGAGAAAAATTTCGTATTAAATTATTTAATTAAGTTGTGAGTTTACCATTAATTTTTAATCATCAATATTCTTATTTATTTATTAATTTGCATTAATTTTTTTTTAATTTACTATTTTCGGTCATTCCGGGAATTCCAAGTATTCCGGTTCCAAATTCCAGCATTCTATATTTTCCAAACTACCGTTTGCTATGTGTTAAAATTTACATAAGGTCTAGGTGTTAAAATCTTTTCCTCTCCTCTGTTTACACAGGGATGAAAGATCCCGGCCGGCTGTCTAATTTATCTGGATAAACTTTCGTTTGACACGCTCTCACTTCGGACTGTTTTCATATCAGCAAGTTAGTTAGTGTCAACAATGTAACTCGCCCATCACAAACTGGTAATTACGAAAACGAAAACCCCGAAAGGGAAGACCAAAGACCCGTACGAAAACGAAGACCCAAAAATAACACGACTTTTTTTTGTTCTCTTAATTTGGTAGTTTGTTATTTTGTATCGACTAGCAGAGAAGAGTGTGCCCGGAAATTGCGGCTTGGTAGATGCGTTTCGTAACGGTTTAAGCGCATGTATTGGGTCTTTGTTTTCGTTATGGTCCTTCGTTTTCGTAACTACAATCACAAACTCCCTCAAAAGCTTGCCGTAATTTGAAACTAAATTGACAAGCGCAAATCCCTCCAATTATCGTTCTTAGCACCTATCTGGTTTGCGCAATTCATGCAGATACTTTCCTTAGTCTAATTATGGACTGCTTGATTTGCAGACGTGTTAGTCCTACAGAAAAGGTTTAGGGTTTTTTGGACGCCCCAGAGGCTCGGCTAATTTCTTGAAGAGGACGATTCGCATGGCTTTCTACCAAAATCACTTCGACCATTTCTTCATTCACATTTTGAAACTATGGGTGGCAAAAGCTCTGATATTTACGGGAAATGGAATAAGAAAATTGTTCGATCACTTGCGCTTTATCTTTTGAACTTTTAATAGATACTTGTCATCTTATGACGAGATGAAGCAGAACTTTGTACCTCCTATAGTTCGTCATTCAAAGGAAGAATTAATTAAAATATAGTAAACATAAATGAGGTTTTTATATTTTATTCTCATGGAACACTCATGAACCTAGAACATATCTTCACTGCTTATTCGTAAACAACACTTCTTGAACATCGAAAATTAGCTTTCTCCATTAGTTCATAGTTTTACTTAGAAACTGAAACTAATATCTGTGCTGTCAGTCAAACGGATGTCGGTTTTTGTAACCCAGGGCTGATTAGTCTTTCTTTTTTTATTACACTTTGAATGTTTCGAAAACCACCCTAGCTTTGTCCTAACTACTCATCTTTGTAGATAGTATTTTTGTTTTCAGGGTATCGAGGCGAAATCATTCAGACGCTTCAACTACAACGCGTTAAGACTGCTTACAAACTCCGAAAAATCGGACTGTACGGAGCCTTCCCGCTGCTAAATACCGGCCCAGGTACAATAACCAAATTTTTGTTTATTTTGCGAAGAAATCTGTCGTCAGGTCAGTGAGACAAGTGCGCCCGGTTATTTTTAATCCTATCAAAGTTGGCAAGCCTTACCAATCTTCACAGGCGCCGTCGTCCTGCCTCGGCGCAGGACGAGTTTTTCGCCAGCGTAAAATCTGACAGATATTACAATTTATAAGCCACGAATTGAAGGAATACGTCTATCAAGAAAATTTTATCTCGCTTTTTATATACGAGTCTTTCAGGCGGAAGGCCACCAAAATATTGAATTTTTACGCGGCAATCAAACGGTGAAGATGGACGATTCGTACCTTGGGATGCTGCATGACGATCGGTACTAAAAATACCCAGACTACAGCCAAGTTTATGTTTAGCTGAGTCCCCAGGTCCTATTGCTGTTCAAATTGTAGGTCTATGTGACAGAACTTTGTGGTTAAAGAACATTTCGCCAGTTTTTCAGTGCGCCCTCGATTGAAAAGTTGGAAATTTGACGGAGACAAATTCTGTCGAAATTTTTGCAGGAGAAAACAAACTTTGTCAGCCCAATGCGCTCGGGCTCAAACACAAACATAAGAACATTTTAAATTGGAAAAAAATCGTAAGTCTTTTCTTTTGGTGTTAACTTAAATTTCCTCAGCACAATCTTTGCATCTTGCATAAAATTTGCGAGCGACAGACCTTAGCTTGTAATCATGGGATCCTACTACATAAACTCATCACAGCAGTCAACATACGTGGGGGGATCAATTTTGGCCGCCTGTGTGCAAACTTCCTGCGCAAAATTTCAAGGAAACATAAGTAGACAATCGCTGTCTCACAAAATAAGCGAAAGATAATTGAAACGGTTCATAGAAATATGCAAAGGAAGCTAAAGTAGGAGAATGTAAACTCCAGACTTTCGATCACGAAGCTTATTCAAGTACGGGTATCGTGTTGATTTTAGCATTCTATTTTGAGCTTTACTAAAAGAGTTATACGCTACTAAAACACGGTGACTTGTTTGGTTGTTTGTAACTCGTCTAAAACAGCTTGGTCCTGACAGCAAGAAAGCGTTACCGCGTTACAACGTTCGCACAAGCGCAGAAGTTTTTCACTCTAACGTGGCATGTACTTCGTCGCAGGGAACTCGCGAATCTGGTGAATCAAGGCAAATTCATAGCCAAAGGTAAAATTTGTATAATGTATGATGTACTTCGGTACCTTCGTGTGGACGGCGACCCCGCGCGTGGACTCGGCCAAGCACGCGAGCGATGATGCCGCCGTCTAAATAGTAGGAAATAGGGACCTTAAGAAACCACGACGGCGACGGCAACGAGGACGTGGAAAAGCAAGAGATCTAATTGGCAGAACAATAGCTCAGCACGTGCGTTTTGAAACTTTGTACATTTCTTAGCCGTCCTATGCAAAACAACAACGTGAAATCGCCAAAATTTGCGTCGTCTGCGAACCGAAACTGCGACGACAAATTATTTTAATTTCCATTTGGAACTCAGCGGCTACTTTATACGTCATGCTGAAGTTGAGCTGTGACGCTGTATGAGACAGTAAGCTCCTACAGCCATTTTTGAAATTCTAACTAAGAGTAGAAATTGATTTTTTAATCGAAGTCTTCCTTGGCGTCGCCGTGTGGTTTCTTAAAGTCCCTAATTTAGGAAACGACGACGGCGACACCGTAGACAACGTCGGATAAAAAATAAACTTATATTTTACCTACGAATTTCGCGATAATCAAAAAGTTTTTTCTCACCGTCAAACTGTCACAAAACTGAATATGGAACACAGCGGTAAATTACAAATAGAAATTCAAAACATTAGCCGTCGTCGTTTACGTTCTCCAGACAACGCAAAGTTTGGTCATTTCACGTTGTTGTTTTGCAGAAGACGCAAAGAAATTTACAAAGATTTATAACGCACGTGCACAACCATTGTTATGCTCATTGACTCTTTTGTTTAGTGACGTTCCCGTTGCCGTTGCCCTCGTGGTTTTCTTAAACTCTCTCAGTAAACAAACCTTACGCAACACAGCATGACATGAACAGGACTTGAGAGCAAAATGGCGGCATTCAGGGAAGCAAGGGAGGCCCTTGTGCTCGCTCATGACTTTGATTTGTTCAACAGAGACCGAGAACGTCTGATACTTTATGAATTTAACTCCTCAAAGAACCTTGTTATCCCCTACTGGAAATACAACAAATTTAAATTGGACTCTCTTTCCGACGACGAATGCAAAAGCGAATTTCAGCTAATTTCGCTTTCTGAAACACGAGATCTATGCTCTCCACAACGTGTTGAATCTTCTCGTTGACATTACTTGGTCAAATCGTTTTTTCGCATACAGCGCAAAAGCCCTATGTCTGCTTTTGCGTCATTATACACACCCGTTAGATACGTATGGTGGTGTTGCAAATGATAGACCCTATACATTTCCGCTTTAGACATTTGCTTTCGCGCCTAAACCAGCCATTCAGTGTTTCCGAGAA